TGTTGTCGTCTGCACAGAAGAACTGAAAGACCATGAAGCTGTACATTTGGGGCTAATCGCTTCTGAGTCTTGCTGCCATGTCAGTATGTGTGTGAACTAAAGAGAAAAGGATAGGCATGTGAATGGAAAAGACAAGAGATGACTTTCCCATTTTATAGAGCTGAGAGCTTTGAAATGGATTTGTCAGGCCTGCGTATCTTCTTTCAGTCATTTCCCATCATGCTCGCCTGAAGTCACAAAACACGCACCTTGTAGATTCATCACTGTAACTTAACAGCAGTCTGACATAATAAGAGCTGGTGACTGAAATACAAGGGCAATTACAGCTTATAGTTTCATTCGGTTAGTTTGTCTGTGTTTTTGTCTGCAGGATTATGAAAAAACTATAAGTCCAATTTTCATGAAAGTTCGTAGAAGGGTGAAGCAAAGGCCAAAGAAGAAACCATTTCATCTTGGAGCTGATCTGATCAACAGAGCATTTATTGTTCATTTGCAAGATTGGACCTTTTTGTCTGAGCTCTTCAAGTGCTTGAGTTTTAACTAAATCATTGAAATGGAAATCCAGCAGATATTCTGGATAAATCAATACAGTATGTTTAAACCCATTGCAATTTCAATAAAGCATAGTTTGCCTGTCTCTCTAAACAAATATATCCAGTAAATGTGCATTCTGGTCATTTAAACAATAGGTGAAGAACTTAACTTTAGCTGAAGAAATTATATGATAAATGCTTTGTATGTTAGCCCTGGCAACTTTACAAAGTGATAATATGTCAGTTGTTATTTTTCTTTGCTGCCCCCTAGTGGCCAAAACGACTCTTTATTAATAGTATTTTATGGTATTTACTTTGCCGTACTTAGTTCCCAGCACTTAGTGCCCAGCACTTAGTACCCCCATGGAACTAAGTACAGATCGCGTTCACACCGGAATAAGTTCCCTGTGGGAAGATTACGCAAATGAAGCCGCTGACGTCACTTCTTCTTTTTCTGCTTTGGGTTTACTGGCAGGCCGCAAACAACTTCACGGCGTATACTGCCACCCGAAGCCCCCGGCTGGAAGTCCCCGGAGTTGGGGACTGGCCTTCCGAGTAAATCGCCAGAACGCCGACACCTCCTCATCACTCCACCGCTCCCATGTTTTTTTTTGTGTTGCCATAAGTTATTCTCTCTCCGTTGGTGCGCGGGGATAAGGATAATGCTAATAATGCTAATGCCAGCAAATACAATGGCGGCTTGACAAAACTTTTCAGAGTTTTACGGGGCGTGGTTTGCAGTTCGCCCAGCCAATCAGAAATTGGTACTTTTTTCTCCCCAGGAAAGTACCACCTCTCTAGCAGGCACTAAAAATGGGGGTAAAAGTTCTCATGAACTAAGTTCTCTTTTTGGTGTGAACGCAAAATTCCAGGCACTATCGGAATTAAACGGGAAAAGTACGGGTAAAAGTACTCTGGTGTGAAAGCGCCTATTGCTTTAGGCCTGTTAGTGTGAAGCCTTAAAACTTCAGTTGCCTGACAGTGACCTCTGTGGTTTGGTTGATTGTAACGCACAGCTCTCCTTGTTAACAGAGCTGCAGTTCAACAGAAATCAATTAGTGGAGAGTGATGTCTAATCCTGATTGATTGTTCCTTTAGGCGGTGTAGAGGAAACTAATGGAGGCGCGCGGTGGGAAATCTGTTCAAACGTGTTCTGGCAACAAGATATGATGATACGTTTATATGTCTTCACTCTAATAGCACATACTTGTTCCGAACTGTGAGAACCCACCGTCCTCAAATAGTGTGTGGTTAAGAAAAGAGATTCTGCACAAAACCCACACTGTGCTTCCCCTGAGCAACTTCAGAACATTTGGAAACCATTCATGGATTGCATTAACACTAAACTCTGTGCAGCAGCTCCATCTGTAACTTTAAAATCATCCTAACAAGATTATCTGACTGAAATGTGGTATTTATTTTGTGTTGCTGTTGGGAAAACGTTCTGTGGGAGAGAAACTTCCTCTGGAGGGGATTTCAGCCTTTGCAGACCATTTACATGCACCAAAACCTGTATAACACACTTCATGAAAGGGAAACCCCTAAAAGCACAACAGGGCCCCTTTAACTTCCACAAAATAGATACATTATTATCAACCGTACAGCATTATGTGTAGTTTGTTCAGGGGAAAAAGCACTGGTTACCTAGAACAAGATTAGCCCACTAAATGGTCTCTGCTTTTATTCGTTTTATCTTTTTTAAGCACCAGTACTGCTGGGAAGCTCCACTCTGGCATCATGTTCTGGTTGACCTTAAATGTGTTTGTGTGTTCTTCTGGAAACAGACCATCATTTAGCAATTAAGCTCCCTGTGTAGTGGAGAGGTTTCAGCTTATTTAGTTTTTCAGGTCATTAGATATAACCCTAACACACATAATGAGCTGGAATTGAGATGGTTTGTTTGCATCAGTGTGGCTTTGCAGCACTTTCTCTGAGGTCATGCAGGCGTTCCTTGGTCATGATGTTAAGACATAAAACCACACACACACTTTTATCACTCTCCTACGTGTGTGGAAACGTAAACATTCAAAGATTTTTGTGATATCACGCTGTGAGGGGCATCAAAGTGTTGAAGAGCATGTGTGAAGGGAATTATCTGCTTCCTCACGTTTCCAAAGTTATTCCCTTTTTTCTCCATCAGAGGTATTTTTTGCACACATTGGTCCCGGCTGTCCTGCAGAGAGGATGTCGTCATGCCGTAATGTTGAGGGTTTGGTTTCAAAATATCTCCCGGGCTATCGAGTCGTTACCATGCAACTTGCTCTCAACATAACATGAAACCGAGGAGCTTTTTCTCATTAGGCACGGTGGAGAACAGAGAAAAAGGAGAAGTGGCCTATATGCCAACGCCAAAAACAAGAGAAGAAAAGTTGCATCAGTAATATGTCTTCAAATGTGAGCAGCTAAAAAAACGTGTGTGACTCAGATTTTGTGACCCAAAACTCTCCACAAACATGTTGTCCCTCTTTTTTCGGATTTGTCTGTTTACGACTCGCCATCCAAAACTCCTTCTCGTTAATGTAATTAGGATTAAGTAGAACATCAGTAATATGTTAAACTGGATCAGAACTTGTTTTCCCACGAACTCTTAAATGAAAACATGTTGTTTTTTAAGGTGACATTAGCATAAAGCAAATTATAGATGATCTCATTGTTAGAAACACAACCAAAATAAATGTTTTTGTCATTTAATAAAGAGATTTAAGATAAACAACAACATGCTGGGAGTCCCCACTTGTGGAATAAGTACTGAGATCCTATTCTCTTGCAAAAACCACAAAAAAAACATTAAAAACTCTCAGTATTGTCAAAAGTAAAAGTATTCTTCTGCAGTAAATTGCCTCATGACCAATATTGATGAGTACAGATAATAATTTGTAGTTAAGTTAAGTAGTTTTCTTTTACATTTCTAGCAAGGTGGAGCTATTTTTATTCACAAAATAAGATTGTTTAGTTGAAGGGTTCTCAATATGTGGGTTAGGCCCTTTTCAAAAGGTTCAAATAGGATCGTGAAATTAGTGATAGGGTAGGAAAGAAGAAAATGTGTATTTATTTTGTATATACTTTAATCATAACTTGTTAATATTTAGGAAAATGTTTCATCTTTAACACTGTGTTGTATTTCGGAGGCGTGTGGTGCAGTGTGTTCGGATCAGGGGGTCACAGGTTCAAACCCCACTGCAGTCAGCATGTCGTTGTGTCCCTGAGACACTTCACCCCAAATTGCTCCTGTGGGGATTGTCCACAGTACTGAGTATGTAAGTCGCTTTGGATGAAAGCGTCTAACAAATGACATGTAATGTAATTTAATGTAATGTATTTTACAAGCTGATCATACGTTGTATTTTTATATGAAGTTTAAACCGTACAGTAAGTAAAGTTTTCAAATAAATGTAGTGGAGTAAAAAGTACAATATCTGAGAGTATGTATAAAAGTACCTCTAATCGTTCTGAGATACAGTTCTCCAGTGAAAAGCACTTACAGTAGTTACTTTCCATCCCTGGGAGTCCCTACGTCATATCTTTAATAAAGCGGGCTCTCTGCTGCAGGTATTGGACGAACAGCAACATGCAGGGGCCAATTTAAACATCGGCCAAAGTGAAGACAGAATGTCCACAATATGTTCTCAGTAAAACACAGAAAACCTCAAAGTGAGCCAGCCATGGAAAATGGTTTTGAAGTCGTAAAAATATTTAGGTCATCATGTAACAAAACAATACATTTAGAAAAGATAAACAACAGAAATTAGTGCAGACGACTGGATCGACATCTGCTCTGCATTAGAGGTTCTGGTTCGGTCCAGCTGACAGCAGTGATTGATAGTTAATGATACTCGATTTGGGGACTCAGGGATCAGTGAATCAACAAATCTCCAGAGATGGCAAAAGTACACACATCCTTTACTCAAGTAGAAGTACAGATACTCGTGTTTAAAAATACTCTTGTAAAAGTAGAAGTACTGACTAAACTTCTTTACTCAAGTAAAAGTAAAGAGGGCTTTGAAATGTACTTCAGTAAAAAGTACCCATAACTAGCAGCTGTTTTAAAGAGTACCTGACCTCCCTTTATATTAATAGAACAATAATGTCATTGTTAGCTAATGAATGTTTCCATGCTGAACAACGGCAACATGACAACGTTTTCATTGGTCCCTCTTCTTTAGAGAAGACCAGGAAATGATGGATACACGGATCGTGTTCAAATCAATAGGCACGCAATGACTCTAAATAATAATGATCACGCCACCAAACACACATTCAAACTAAAGGAACCAGCCTGTTTGGAAAATGTAAGAAGTAAAAGTAAAAAGTTGTCAGAAAAATAAATAGTGGAGTAAAGTACTGAAACCAGAAAGATGTACTTAAGTACAGTAACGAAGTATTTGTACTCCACTACTTCCCGTCTCTGGGGATCAGTGAATCAACACATTTCTCACCCTCTCTTCTCTTTCTCCCCCCCTCCCCCAGTCTCTCGTTCCCAGGTTTCCTCTCAGCACCAGCAGGTTCTGATGGAGAACGTGACCCGGATGTCGGAGCGCTCTCAGCGGCTGCAGCAGACTCTGGGCGAGCCGTCCACCCAGGCCGACCTGCTGGAGAACATCTGGAAACTGGAGAACCTCTTCCAGAACCACAGCGACTGGCTGCAGAGGCTGGAGATCCTCATCAAGGTATGTCACAGGACTGAAAAAAGAAGAAGAAGCAAAACGAGAGATTTCACAGAGCAGGGTTCAAGACCTGGGAACTGTTACAGGGAATTAATAGTTGACAAGATATTCAATGACAGTATGTAATAGAGGTTTAAGGTCCTAAATGCACTTTTTATTTTAAAGCGATGTGCTTTTCATTATTCCTCTCCAATCATTTATGTTCTATTGTACTTTTAAGTTAATAATTTTGTTTATATACATTGTTTTAAAGCAATTGTAGTTAAAAAACACAACAGGATTTGTTTATTTTTTCTTGAATTTACGATTAAATAATCTCAGAATTATTATATTTGTTTTCATAAATGTACCACTTTAATCTCAGAGATTGTGCACATATTATTGGAGAACAATAAAAGTGTTTTGGCATTACCCCCTCCCATGACTGTATATGTTTGAACCTATAATGGACCTCATACACCATCACATTTCTAATTGATATTTATGATGAATGACTATTTCTGAATCCTGTCACCCACAGGGCCTGGAGGTGGAGCTGAGGAACCTCCAGTCTAACTCCCTTCAGTCGGAGGGCTACCTGGTGCAGCTGGACGACAGGTTGTCCTCCCTGAGCAGCTCCACCGGGAGGAACCTGACGAGCCTCAGTGTGGAGGTGACCCGAGCCTCCACCTGGCTCCACGACCAGGACCTCTTGTTCAGGTACAGCCAGAGGTGGGAAGTAGTGGAGTACAAATACTTCGTTACTGTACTTAAGTACATTTTTCTGGTATCAGTACTTTACTCCACTACTTATTTTTCTGACGACTTTTTACTTTGACTTCTTACATTTTGAACACAAATACCTGTACTTTCTGCTTCTTACATTTTGAACACAAATACCTGTACTTTCTACTTCTTACATTTTGAACCCAAATACCTGTACTTTCTACTTCTTACATTTTGAACCCAAATACCTGTACTTTCTACTTCTCACATTTTGAACCCAAATACCTGTACTTTCTACTTCTTACATTTTGAACACAAACACCTGTACTTTCTACTTCTTACATGTTGAACACAAATACCTGTACTTTCTACTTCTTACATTTTGAACACAAATACCTGTACTTTCTACTTCTTACATTTTGAACACAAATACCTGTACTTTCTACTTCTTACATTTTGAACACTAATACCTGTACTTTCTACTTCTTACATTTTGAACACAAATACCTGTTCTTTCTACTTCTTACATGTTGAACACAAATACCTGTACTTTCTACTTCTTACATGTTGAACACAAATACCTGTACTTTCTACTTCTCACATTTCCCAAACAGGCTGGTTCCTTTAGTTTGAATGTGTGTTTGGTGGCGTGATCATTATTATTTAGAGTCATTGCGTGCCTATTGATTTGAACACGATCCGTGTATCCATCATTTCCTGGTCTTCTCTAAAGAAGAGGGACCAATGAAAACGTTGTCATGTTGCCGTTGTTCAGCATGGAAACATTCATTAGCTAACAATGACATTATTGTTCTATTAATATAAAGGGAGGTCAGGTACTCTTTAAAACAGCTGGTAGTTATGGGTACTTTTTACTTAAGTACATTACGAAGCCCATAGAGTAAAGAAGTTTAGTCAGTACTTCTACTTTTACCAGAGTATTTTTAAACACGAGTATCTGTACTTCTACTTGAGTAAAGGATGTGTGTACTTTTGCCATCTCTCGGTACAGCTTTATATTACAGTGAAGATGCTCATTTCCAAAAGATGAAAGTGTAACTGCATCACAATGAGGGCTGTAGAATTAAATAATATCTGTTTCTCTTCTCCTTCAGGGAAGCCTCAGGTCAGGTGAGCTGGCTGAGAGAGAAACTGGACGAGGTCAACTGGACGGTGGGAGCTGTCAATCACACCTTCAGCAATGACATCAGTATTCATCACCTGAAGATACAAGACTTACAGGTTAATCACAACATACACAACACAGTCCTACACATTGATGTTGCATTCACATGCTCCTTGTATTTTAAGAACATTTGTGTGTTCTTGAGCTTTACGTGGTTATGTGGAAACAATATGGAGATACAAGGATCTACATCATACAAGGATTATGACTAAGAACTTTTAAACAGTGATTATTCAAGTTGTTATCCAAGTATACTGAAATAGTTTGATGTTTTATATTAGTGATTTTGTCCTAGACTTGTTGCAACATCACTACATTATCTAAATCACTAATATACAGCTTGATATACAGAGTTAATGCAATTTTTTTAACTTTTTTAACTAATGTAGCTCAATTTACAGCAACTAACGATTAAAACCTGATACCAAATAGCAACTTACATGTTAGCATTGATATGCAAAAATGACATAATTAAATGTTATTACCATTGACCCAACATGTGTTTTTGTCCAGTGATTTGCCACATTTATGAAAACGTTTTACAACGTTGATATTCAGGCTTGTAATTGGGGCATTCAAAGGAACAGGAACTTTCTTTCCCCTATGAAAAGACATAAATGCAGCATGAATCTCCAACTGAAAAACATATTTTGTATAACTGTTGGAAGCACAAAGTCATCATTGATAAAGTACAGGAAATACACAATACTTTTAACCTGAGTTTTACACCTTACTGCAGCACACTGATGAAGACTGCAGGTGTTAACACTCCCTCTTCCTCCTGCTGCTCAGATCCAGATCAGCAACATCACAGAGGACACCAGCAGCCTTTGGGTGACCCACGTCCACACGGAGGCCGAGCTGAGGAACGAGATGGAGATCCTGAACACCATCACAGAGGACCTGCGTCTGAAGGACTGGGAGCACTCCCTGGCTCTGAAGAACTTCACCATATTCGAAGGTCAGTCAAGAAAAAAAGATTCAGATCGTGGCTCTGAGGGCAAAAGAATAACGTTTATTTAACCAGCACTTGGCTCGTTCCCAAATGAGGCAATTCAGTGTTTCTTTATGGCCTAAATGTGTCACGAGAGAGGAACTTGAAAAGTCAAGTACACCTCTTGTTGGTTTAAATCCCCCCCCCCCCCCAAGTGCCCCTGTGGTTAGCTGTGTGCGTGTCTAATAAGCATTAATTTCCTGATTTGCAGGTCAAAAGGCATCAAGATGTCGAAATTCAAACTTTTTTGAATGTTTTCAGCGACAGATCAAGAAAGGACTTTATGGGTAACATGTGCATGGGCAAAAACTATCAACATGAAGGACAAACAAAAGTGAAATATTCAATGAAGACACCTTCAAGTTTTGGAAGTATGAAGTGTGCAGCTAAGTAGAAGAGTAACACATGACAGACATGTGAACGCATCATGAACCTTACCTGGCTGTTAGTATTAGAAATTCCTTTGGATGGAAAATGTGTTTTTCAAAAAGATAGTGCTAGCGGGCCTGAGCTAATAGATTTTTGCATTGTGATTGAATACAAGCGACAATAGCACTAAAACATGATTTTAACACCGTGTGATTAGTAACCCGGGGTATAGAGAAACTTTGAATGTTCTTCCTCCAATCTGTTGGGGTCTGATTAGTCCCGACATGGTACAACTCTCTCTGCCCGGGCACCAAATGACTCCCCTGGCTTATTAAAATCAGAATAGGTATGCTGTGATGTAATGCTGGCAGGGGACTCAGCCCGTGTTGATTGATGGCAACTAAAACCGAACAAGACCCCTGATTGTGCGTCTGCTTCACATGTGGGTGGGATGCCGTTTCTTCCAAACCTGGAAACAATTGTGGGTTAAATTTAGACGCAACATCCAGGGTAAAAAAAACAGGTCTGTCATTAGTTTTATCTCAGCAGCCCATTTGTTTGTTGTTAGCTGGCAGTCACCTTAGCCAAGAAAAGTTTTACATCTCTATCCATGTTTATGCTTTCTCTGTTCTGTTCCCCTCTCATTCTTCCCCTCTTTTTTCTTCTTATTCAGTTTATTTGCATTTAATTCCTCTGTGACTCATGCCACACATGTTACTCGTTGTATTATCAAAAGACACATAAGAAGCTGTTTTAAAATCTGGCCTGGAGACTTTTACTTCTGCAGGTGGTAGATAGTCCTGTGCTTACTGACGGATAATAAATCACATGATCAAAGTCATCCTCAATGTTGTGGCTTATCAGTAAACCTTTGGATTTCCAGAGGCAACATTTCACACTTAATATTTTAATGTAACAACTCTATGCTAAATGCTATACACAATATCTATATTCTCTCAAGCTTATTCACAGTGATTTTTCCAGGTTTGGCCAGAAAATGACACAACTTCATAAACAAGTCTCATTGAAATACGTACCTTGACATCAAAGGGTTTTAGTGACACGTAGAGATTTTGGATTGAAGATCTGTTGTTGCTGAAAACTGCTGATGTGAGGGAGTTTTTGCTGAGTTAGTCATATGTTGTGAGCCGAGAAAAGCCGAGGCCTGGAAACATTTACAGCCATCGGTGTCATCTGATGGAAATTAATGTACATTTTTAGTGTCGTGTTTGCTTTGCTCGTTAAGGGTCCTAAAGCTCAGTGGTGCCTGGCTTACACACATTGAAGTCTTATGTATTTGTTGATTTTCATTTGCTACAATTTTATGCATTTTAACAAAAAGATAGGAAGCGCAGGTCATCCATTTCAACGATTTCCTTCATAGACAGTGTCAACTTTCACTACGTCTAGATTCCAACATCTTACTGTCCTCAGGAAATATCATAACTTAAAATGTCTCTAAGGGTCAATAGGTAAATACATATTGTCTTATATCCAGGCTAATACTGTAAATGTCTCAGTGTAACAGTATCTGTCCAACCAAAGCACTTTGCTCTAAATCCCCTCAGGATAAATCACTTTTAAACACACCCCTGCCCTCTTACATTAGGGACATACATTGAACAGGTTAGCCTCCTTATGACCAGAGTGTTGTCCATCTGTTCTCTGTTAAATTGACTGTATTCTCGAATAACTTAAACCTTGATAATGCCTTGCGTCATTCGTCATGGTGATGTATTTCAACAACCCCCGTCCTTATCTTCCCTACATCTGACATACGAAAATACAGACTCACTGCCCTGTTGCTCCACCCGACATTAGATTGACTGAATGTTGGACGGAGGTGCCTGAACTCGACACTAGTGTTGTATTCTTGGACTCAGCGCTGTCAGATGTTCCTGAAGGGGCCGCTGGGCTTGTTATTGTTGAACCACTCTCAGCTGAATGAAGACATAGGTCCCCGGAAAGCCAAGAGATTAATAATGTGAAGCTGTGCTAAAACAAACTATTTTGGAGGACGCAAGTTCATCAGGACCACCAGGGTGAACTGTCTTTACCAAAGCTGAGCGAGACAGACACACTTATATATCTTTCAAAAGTAGATGATTTCCAGACAGTATTTGATCTATGTAAACGTTGGTGGGGATGTGTCCAGCTTTCTCTCACTGCTGAAAGAAAAATGTTGGGTTTTATTTAACTTTGGCTACTCCTACAAGAGTTTACAACAAACAATTCTTGCGATGGGTTGTGGTACGTTAACTCCCCTCTTGCTGCTAAATCCCTTTTCGCCAATTGGCATGAACACCAACACACACATTCACAGCCCAATACTTACCCTTCAAGCCACATTTTAGCCTCCTAGGGAGAAAACTGTTGCCTCCAAAGGGTGGGAAACGTTTTGGCAACGACCATAGAGTGACCACAGAGCTGCTTGTTGTAGATCAAAGGAAGTAGTAGACTAAGATAAATCAGAGAACTACAACATCTCAATCAGTGGGACGACGTACCATGTCTACTTGGGCCCCAAAATGTGTGTTCGACCTTTTCTGACCTGAACATATCTTACTCTCATGTGTTGAATGGATTGCTATGAAATGTTGTGCAGAAGTTCACGGTCCTGCTGACTTTTGTGACCCTCTGACAATTCAACTCGCTCCCACAGAAGGTCATGGTTTCAGTTCTCCGTTGAAATATCTGTTACAGTAATTGGACAAAACATGGTGCAAACATCACATTCCCCTGAAGGGGGATGCACAAACTAGCCCTTATTAAATGAACTGGTGTGCCCAATACAATAAAAACCCAATACCCAGAAAACTTCACTCCTAAACTTTCTACTAATAGGCACAAACATTTGCATGAAGATCTTTTTACATCTTTTTATATGTATCACCTTGTTGCGTTTAGATTGTTGCCACATCTGTTGTATTGTTGACTGCTGCAGACTTTTATAGATCTAAGAAGTCCAGTCAAAAGTGTGCAGAGGCCCAATATTAAGACTGAGGACCAAAGGTTAGCTCAGGTCAAAAGATACAATGTCAGAAGAAAGTGCCTTTCACAAGCCAACACCACAAAACCTAAACGTATTTTAATTATAAAAGCAGACACAATGAAAAAGCTGGAAGAAAGGAATGTTTGGCATTTTATTCTAAACAACGGCAACAAACTCAAAAATGAATCTCAATTGTTTTTGCTATAGATCAATTTTTCATTGCAGTTCAACCTAATGCTAACCTCAACCTGAACTCCTTGAGAGTCCTCACTCTCTTCTTTAGTGGGCCTCACAAGAATCGAAATACAGCAACACACACCGATACACAGATGGGGTAGTAGACACCCAGCCTTCCTTCTTAATGTGACGTTTTCATGGTCTCGGGACCTGTGGTGACCAGTTAACTGTGTCCAGTTGTGAAGAAGCTCAATCTGTATCTCAAAGTCAGACAGCAGCTTGAGATGAAGAACATTAGCGGCTCTGAAGGATCAGAACCGCTGGACATGTGCTGGACAATAACAGGCTCTGAAATGTTAAGCATTGCCACAAGCTGTATTGCAGTCCACCTTGTTAAACATGTGGTTCCCATTGTGGTCTCTCTTTCTCTCTCTCTCTCTCTCTCTCTCTCTCTCTCTCTCTCTCTCTCTCTCTCTCTCTCTCTCTCTCTCTCACTATTTCGACTCTTTCCAAGTACAATAAACGTTTTGGATTGAATCCGTGGACCAGTTGTAAGACCAAGTTTGGCCTACATTTTGGCCGCCATGTCACTGTGTGTTTGGTGTGTGTGTGAACTATAATAAGAGACAAGAAAATACCCGGGGTTTCTTGACACTGATAAAAAATTATCTGCATTTGTTCGTATCTCTCTCAGTTCCATGTGTTCCCTTTTTAAGTGATAAGCTACACGGTTACTGCCTTCCTTGACTTTGGCAACACTTTTCATGATAAGGGCTCCAACTTACTGTAATAATAAAGATCCTGACACACCCTTGGTGGAGCTTCCATTTCTCTTCAGGAAGTACAGTGAGATAGAGGCAATGTTGATGTCAATTTATAGTGAATGAATAAAAATATATGCATCCTACTTTGTAAAAACCTGTTAAACTGTACACTGTTGTAACTTTAATTGGACTCTTCCTAAATCCTTGTTCTCTGGAGAATACCCTGGTGTAAGTAGTAAAGCAGGAATTGCGTGTTTGCATCGAGTATATTTTCTCTGTTACTGATTATCTTTTCTTCAACTTTATGTCACAATCTACAACCCTAATTCACCTATGAAACATATATGATACAACACCAGAAATCTAAGCTGACAAACTTCAGTACATGTAATCCTCCTATGACTGCAAGATAGTGTACTGTGTGTGGTAAACAACTATCTACAATCAACGACAAAGTGTGTGCATTAGTATTTGCATTGAGTGCATAATATCACCAATACGTTATCTCATCAATTGTGACCATAATTGTGTTTCTCTCTGCAGGTCCTCCGGGTCCAAAGGGAGATAAGGGAGATCCTGGGAAGGTAGGACCCCCCGGGGCTCCTGGGCTGACAGGATTGAGAGGTGGGTACTACAACTCTACCATTCAGATGTTATTGAGTAGAATAACAATGGCATAAGACCTACGAAACTTATACATTTAATCAATATTGCTTCCAACTTCTATTCAAACCACTTAATACAAATCCTCAACCTAGAAATGCTGTGTTATTCAACTTTGAAGTATTTCATTTGTAATGTTTGTAATGTATGTAGGAAATGGGAGATCAGGTATTCCTGTGAGTTCAAACTATTTCCTCTTAACTCATGTGAGCCCAAAGACGTAAAAAGTCTAATATTGCCTCGTGATTTTGGATGGTTTTACAAGCTGTAGGTCATAAAATTGTCCCATAAATGTACTGTGTAAACACCAAGTCTTTTGAGTCACATGCCTTTTTTTACACTAGAGGTTTGAGTGGCATGAAATGCTACCTTTTTACGCAAAACAGACTTTGGCTGGTGTTATTACCTTCGTGTTGACACTCACTTGTATTACTAATGCATTGAGCACAGAGAATAAAAAAGGTCATATAGATACGTTTACGAAAACAACACCCCCAAGCTTTGGATGGTGATTTATTTTCAGACAGGGCATGAACGGGGCCATTGGGACAGGTCATCCATCTTTGTCTTCACCAAAAACCACAACATTAACCTTCATCCAGACAGAATTGGCACCTAAGAAAGCTGAAATGGCTATTTATCATAAATACTGTAAGATACTGCAATATGAATCCAGATGTTTTTTGGACCCCTTCCAGCGGGGTACCTCTTCCTCTCGCTCCTCCCCTGTCATCATCCATCCCACATTCCCAGGCCGATGAACTGCAGCTCCTGCATGACATTTCCAAGAAGCATTATCTTTCTGCTGGAAGGAAAACCCCCACCATAGCTGTAGTTCCAGGAAAAAGTGAATTAAAAGAATTTCTAACTGTAAGAAAACAGCCTGTTTAATAGATAGCGAGGAAACATAACATTGAATGGAAACTTCCCCGAGGACCAAAACAGAACAATGTGCCCAATGTCCATCAAGCTTTTGTCTGTAGTGAAGGGGTCTTTTAATAATAAGTCAACCTCTGTAGGGTTCATACATTAGCCGCGTTCACACCAAGTACTTTGCCGTACTTAGTGCCCCGGCACTTATTACCCCAGGGCACTTAGTACAGATCGCGTTCACACTGGAATAAGTTCCCTGAGGGAAGATTACGCAAATGAGCCGCTAAAGTCACTTCGTCTTCTTCTGCTTTGGGTTTACTGGCAGGCCACAAACAACTTCACGGTGTATACTGCCACCCGGAGTCCCCGGCCGGAAGTCCCCGGAGTTGGGGACTGGCTTCAGTAGAAGCTGCTGGGACTCCCAGCAGCTTCTACTGAAGCCTTCCGAGTAAATCGCCAGAACGCCGACACCTCCTCATCTCCACCGCTCCCATGTTTTATTTTGTGTTGCCATAAGTTAGTCTCTCTGCGTTCGTGCGCTGGGCGAATGCTAATGCTAATAATGCTAATGCGAGGATAATAAAATGGCGGCTCTACAAAACATTTCAGAGTTTTACGGGGCGTGGTTTACAATTCGCCCAGCCAATCAGAACTGGGGCATTTTTTTCCCCCAGGAAAGTACTATCTCTCAGCAGGCACTAAAAATGGGGGTAAAAGTTCCCGGCACTCAGTACTCTTTTTGGTGTGAACGCGACATAAGGGGTACTAACGGAACTAAACGCGAAAAGTACGGGGAAAAGTACTCCGGTGTGAACGCGGCTAATATTAATTGTACTTATATTTGTTAAAAACAATTTGCAGAAACCATTCAAAGAAGAGCCTTCAAGCAGAGAGATACTCAAACGATCTGATGTGATTTTATGTATTGTAAAACAAGATTACATGTGATGAAATGTAAACATTATATATGGGAAAAAAATACACATGTCTTGTCAAGTGGAGACATTTGAATTCAAGATATTTGCTTCCTAATTGAGGTCTTTACAGGTCATGAATTATGGACTTGATTTTGGATCTGAAACAGACCTGCGGAAACTTATACATACATCCATTTTCCTAAAAAGTGACCCAATGTAAAAGACTATGAGGAAAATCAGAGCCAGACTCAATACTATACAACCGTCCTTGAAAACCAGTGTAACTCCGAGGCGACGCCAACCTGAAAGAAAAACCTGTTTTGAAAGTTGATATTTCTTAGCTGACAGTCTTTTGGATGATAAAAATACCATGTTATGAACAGGGTTACATAATATGTCTATGAAGCAGTGCATGCATGTTCTTCTATTACTCCATTTACATCGAGGCCAAACAAATCTGTCATCACGTTCAGGCTCTGAAAATCCTTTTTGACTTTCGTTGGACTTTCCTGCAAATCGCACAGAACATGTCTGCACTCCTTCCAAAATGTAATTGATTGCATTTTCCCAGAGGAGTTTTTATGACGACAGCGTTATTGACCCTTTGCAGCAGACAGAAAAACATCATCCATCATCTAGTTGTCTTGTGTCTTTGTTCGTAATGCCTTCAATGTAATTGTTTCAATGAGATTTCTGTGTGGTCACAACAGTGTAATCAGAGCATATCGAGGTATTGACAAAGGTTGTGCTTCATACGTCAACGATGCATTCAAAAACTCGTTACCACATTAATTTTAAGACGTTTGAGTGCAACAGGGTGGGTCTTTTCAAGAAAACTGTTTTTTATGGAACAAAATTAAGGATAGCGCTATTCTTCAAGCATTATAGATTTGAAACGTAGAGAGAAGTAAAAAAACTAAGTGAAAATGACTTCTAACATCTTTATGTCTCCCCGCATGTATGCCTGGGCAAGGAGGGAAGCATTAGGGCTTCTTGTTAATGTATCATGAAATCCGCATATTATTCCCTTTTTATTCGAGTTGCTATATGGTATATGGTTGAAATGATTTTGCAAGTCAAAGTGAACTTGAATCACTTCAAAGCCTGCGTTATATGATTCTTTTTGATTTTGCACCTAAGCATCTCATGTATGGATTTGAACAGATTCCTCCTCAAATGCTTCTTAAAAATAACTTGTGAAATTGTTTATTTAGTGGAACCGTTCACAACCAACACAGGTGTTTTTTCTAAAACTGCCAGGAAGCGAAAACAGCTTTGAGAATACACATTTTTTAACTTTAACCTATTACAGTTTAATGTCAAGTTTTGAATACAATTGACATGCTTTACGTTTGAATCCCACCTCAATAGTAAATGTGCTTTGAATGGTATCATAGCTCGTAATGAGGAGAGTCTCATGAACAATATTGCAGTATATTATGCTTGATTTATTTCCTATTGAATGATTTGTAATCACTTTTTGAGTTCAAGCTTGTACTTCTGTGTGTTTTTCAGGGTTCACCGGAGAAAAAGGGATGATGGGCAGCCGGGGAATTAAAGGGTCTGTCGGAGTCGACGGTTTTCAGGGAGAGAAAGGAGACATCGGACAACCTGGTCCCAGAGGTATGTCTCTCATATAAATCAATACATGTTTTATATTGTCAGAACTACAACATATGTATTGTGAGGGAAACTTCTGAAGCAATTGGAAACAGGACTCAGAGAGACACGATGGAGAGCTGGAGCTTTTGATGGCAAACACTGACGGTTTATTTGGAGCTTCGGCCGGAGAATTCACAAGACATGTCATGAGCCACAAGTTGACACAGGTTGAGATGCCAAACCAATTCTCAAGATCTCTACCCCAGACCCGTGTATTTAGCTAGTTCAGAGAGAATAATCAACATTGTGCATAACAAGATAGAAGCATAACACCTCTATCAGCTGACGCCATCAGGCAGGAACAGGGAGACAAAACACTGAGAGCACAGCAGCCAAGGTTGCAGGTGCCTGTGCTCAGTCAGGACAGTTTGAACTGATAAACTGGGTCAAAGTTATGGACCTTGGAAAATATTTCCCCAACATATATTATTTAAGCAATAGCTCACGACAGGCCGTGGTATATGCTCATTATATCACAGCTAAGGGGCGTGGTTCGGCCCGACGCGAAGCTGTGATATAAGGAGCATATAAAGTGTGGCAATATAAAAGAAAGAATACACACTCTAATTTAAATAGTTTTTATTAGTAAATAATGACGTTCAAAATAAAATGGTGGTGCTATGTAACAACACTAACAGCTAGCGAACATATTAGACAGAGAGCGTTGATCGATTATTTGGCTATTTATTTACATTAATGTGTATGTTGCCGTTTATTGTGCACCCACTGAAAAACTATCCAGCATCAGTAGCATGGCTTACGTGGTTACTTGTATAGGTTGAGGTTGTTCTAGGCTGTTGCTTGGCGTGGCGAGAATATTGCTCCACTTTCTCCGGTCCCCGAGATTCGGCTTCCAGTAGCTCTGGAGAGAGCTTTCGCACCTGTGGCCACTAACGGTCATCATTTCTCTGCTTTGTTTCAAGACCCGCATCAGAAAGCTTTTGAATGGTGGTACCTTTCCAGTTGGTCTACCTGCTCTTCACGTAGCTCTGCATGTCGTCGTTTAGGTGCTTTCTGGAGATAGGCACTGCTCAATCCACTCCTCCATAGTGAGGCCACCCCGGAGGTCGAAGTTAACCTTAAATGTTTCCATCTTAAGCTTTGTTAGTTAGTTAGTTTCATAACGGACGTAATGTAACAGCTGTAACGGTTGTAGTTTTTCTCAGACGCGGAGGGATACATGACTTGTGAAAAGTAACTACAATTCTACCCATGATATACGCTCATTATATCACGGCTAAGAACCAATCAGATTGCTTGATGATTTGACTTGTCCGTTTTATAAAGAAAAGCAATGAACTGTTAGACGTCACAGCCAAGAACGCCAATCTAGACATCGAAGCACAAGAACAAACACAACCGATTCATTATAATAATTTGAGTTTAATGTGATAACTGCAATGCTGTGTACTTTATGGGGTAACAGTAGTAGTTACTATGAATGAGCCACTTATTCACTCACCCTACAGCTCGTCATTCACAAGTCAGTAGAAAGAGCGTGTTACTCCCAGCAGTCTCGTACAACTCACAGCTGAATCTTCTCAACGCGTTCACAGCTAAAATCATTTCAGACGTCTGCTGGAGATGTTGACTTTTTTAGTCGAAAATTCCTCTGCAAGAATTCTCCGGCACGACCCAATCTTTCACACGTTTTACATCACGAACAGGTGGCTCTTGTTTTTCGTTTTATGTTTCGCAATGGTAGCTAGTGGTTAACTAGCCGTGCCTTCTTATATTTATTCCACATAAACAGCTGTCTGTACTAATCAAATCAGCTGTCTTACATGAGGTAATGCAAGGAAATGTTTTACCATGTATAATCGTAACAAAATAAACAGCTCTGTATATTTTTGAGCAGTATAATGTTCACGAGGAAAAGTGGAATTGAGAACACTGCATAACTTACAGCCTTCTGCAATCACACAATGTTTTGAAACTATAGTGCCTATGACGTAGTTAAAAAGCACAAATACTTAAGGCAACACATATATAGATATTAAAATTAAATAGCTGTTTTAGGGTTTAATCATCCACATAAACACCTATGATGTGTCATTCAAGAAGAAGTTTAAAGGGGCCCTATTATGCACATTTTCAGGTTCATTCGTACCTTGTGTTGTGATTGGCCAAACGCTTGGAAATGTGTTGGAGTGCTAGCCAATAAAAGCACAAGTGTTACATATTGATGTCACTATGTCATGGAAGTAAACAAAGGAGTCCAATGGAGGCGTTTTAGGCTCTTTAAGTCATGTTTTGAATCAATCAGTCAATTGCAGATTTAAAAAGATGTATTATTTCCCCAACACATTTAAAAGTATCCAGTGACCCATGTGCTTTTGCACCGAGCCTACTGCCCCTTATGAGCAAGTCAAAATAAGCCACTAATTCTCAAATATGATTCAAAATCCATAATGAGCATGTAATAGTGTCGGGACAGCTGAATATACGATTATGTTCGTTGGGGAGAGAGAGCGTCTGGAAATTCTTCCCCATTCTGTTTTCCCAGTAGTTTTCCATCGCACACTATAAAAATATATTTCCATGACATGAGCGTTCAACTTTTCCAAGTTGAAGTGAGAATAAAAAGCCAACTTTTTGAAATAGAAAATATTTTGATCACACTAAGACTTGATGACGTAGTGCTACAGATTCTCTCTGCCTTTCCTTCCATGCTCTCATCCATTTATCTATCAATCAATCCACTTATCCACACCCGTCGATATCTACATAACCCCCCCGACGTGTTGATGTTTCCACTCTGGCATCACCAGCCACCCAGTGCCAACCATAACACACACACGCACACGCACACGCGCACACACACACACACACACACACACACACACACACACACACACACACACACACACACACACACACACACACACACACAGTGCTATTGGGAAAAAACATCACCATGACAAATGAGATTTTTGGTGCGAGCATGTCGTTGTGTGTGTACGTTCACGTTGTGTGTTCAGCCAGCAGCTGTTGCTGATCAGAGTTGGTTTTGGCTCAAATGTCCTCTGTTGGAGTCCCGGTGTTGGCCAGTAGCTCCAAAACCCTGGACCAGATTGATCTGTTGTCTTCGGTTTGAGCGCATGGGTATGGATGTTATGGCTCTACACTCTGCACCAGACTCTACTCTAGTGTTGGTGGATTTTTAGATAGTTATTGTTGTTGTGTTGTTATTGTCAATTTTTCCATTACTGTGTCAGAATCAGAAATCCTTAATTTGTCCCACAGGGGGAATTGACGTTGTTACAGCTTCCTTATTAAGTTAAGAGGCAAGCACATGCTAATAAAATAATATAAGTTCAGATCCATGGTAAAAAAAAATGCACTTGCTTTTTTGAGTATGTCGCTTCATGGTTTTTTGCACTTATTCTAAGTCACATTTGTAAACGTAGCGTAATGTACAAGTAAAAGTCCTGGAATTTAAAACCTTACTTAAATAAAAGTATGAGCCAATTTAACGTTGCACCATAACTTATTGGTTCATTTGTACTTTCTATTCATTATCTAAATGTGCAAAGTAACTATCTACCGCTTCAAATAAATGTAAATGCCTCCAAAATATAGCCTGTAGTGGTAAAGAAGCATAAAGTAGCATAAAATGGAAAGACTACCTCAAAAGGATACATAGGTACAGTAATCGAGTAAATTAATTGTGTGAAACTGTACTAAAACAAAGGATGCTACGTGCTGCATACACACAGATGCCAGTTTTTGTCAATGTTTATTTTGATCAGTGAATCATATCAACATAAGCGAGGTTTTTGTTGAAAACCAACTTGTAGCTTGTACGTTGTAATTTGGTTTAACAGTCCTCTGCTTTGTGAAGAGTAAACATACGAAGACCATCGGGCAACAATAGCTATCTTGGATGAACAAACATGAAAAGAGTGTCCCCCACAAAATGAACAAATGTGGTGCTTTAAACATTGTTAGACTGACAAGTTAATTATGTAAAGAGTTTCAAATGAATGTTTTTCAAGATAAATGGAGACTAGATGAAGAAAAACAAGGGTCTCTGCGGATGTTTGGCCATCTACACTCTGGCAGTTTACAACAATGTCAGTCTGTGCCTCCACCCATCTGGAGTCTGTGTGGGTTTAACAAACCAGTGGAGGGTGAAGAGTTTGTTCTCTCTGCTGTGAGCGGGGCCTCAGCTGTAGAGACTGAAGGCTTGTTAAAACAGCACTGTGGAGCTTCATGGTTTCTTTTCATGGATAGAAAGACAGATCCAGAGTTAGTAGACTGAGCAGGGAGTGAATGAGGTGTTTACGTGCTTCTCTTTCTGGTTGTAAAGCTCCACAGATCAGCTGAGTCGAACAAGCCATGATTACGAAGATATATAATCTGGCATTTCATGATGTAAAACCACTGCATTTTCCTCGCTACATAGAAGAAAAACTACACAAACGTACAGACTGACAGCCCAGAAATATTTTGTGTGCGAACATTTGTTTATCTAGATATTGATCATCATCATAGGCAGTTGAGCTCCGGATACAGGAGGCTAATATTTGACCAACTATCATGCTTGTTTTAAACACCACAGAGGATGTATTTATGTTTGTGACAGCAATTTGCATATTACGGAAGTTCAGAAGTGTGGGGGAAACTTCTGAAGCAATTGGAAACAGGACTCAAAGAGACACGATGGAGAGCTGGAGCTTTGATGGCAAACTCTGACGGTTTATTTGGAGCTTCGGCCGGAGAATTCACAAGACGTCACGGGCCACTATCTGACCACACGGTTGAGATGCCACAATCAATTCTGAAGACCCCTCCTGTAGCTCCAGGTTTGAACTAGTTCAGAGTGTAATAATCAACATTCTTCAATAGATAGACTAAACAGCTGGGGACACTGAATCAACTTTAGTTGTCGGTTATGGCTCGGGGTCATCTACACCCAGAGAAGGATGTGTTCCAGGTGTCCCACAACAATAACTATCTCTGACCGAGAGTTGGCCGGTCATGAACTGGTAACAACAACTTGCTAGGGCAGCCCCTCCTTAAGGGAGATAGCGGCTGTCCAAGGCTGGGCATCTGCGTCAGAGGGCGAAGGATGACATGCAGGGCAAATTATTCCCTGACAAGAAGTAAGTAGCTTGCGCCCCTTACTGACAATATTGATGCAGCTCGTTAGACAAGTTGTTGTTTCTGAACAACCGTTGTTTGTTTTGAGTAACATGAGCAATTCAAAACAAAACTCTCTGACAGTGATCTCATGAGTTATCTGATTAATAAATGACCCGTGGTTTCATGTTGGTGACAATGAAACCATACTGATATTTGGAGTTGCTGGACATAACCATATATTGTAGTATCAATCAATCTATCAAAATACTTTATTTATCCCAGTCGGAAATTAGGTTTCATGACAGTTATACCAAATGATAGTCAAATAAATACATATATATATATATATATATAAACTTAAGGAGAAATAAAAATCCTTGCAGCCACGGGGACAAAACAGTAAATTGAGCGTCTGGGGATCAGGAACGAGACGGGGCGTTCCTGCAGTAGCATGCATATGAGACGTTTAGGGAACATCATTGTGAACAATAGGGACCAACAAATTAGGGAATGTTTTGTCTTCTCTGGAAACTATGACAATATCAGTTTGTTTGTGAAAATACTGTTTTTTGGGGCGTGTTTTTGCATTTATTCGACAATGTTGAGACAATAGAGAAATAAACATTCACACACATCCATCACCACTTCCATGTGTTGACTGCAAGGGCTGGGATTGAACAACAGACCCTCCAATTGGTGCACGACTTCTCCGCCACAGCCACGAGCATTTGACTATGAAAGCTCTCCATGCATCCAGTATTTCAGTCCAAACAAAATAAGTACCATCCTAGCAGATGCTAAGGCAGTTAAAACAGTACGCATTCAGCATTAGTTTTAATAAAATGTCACTGCTGTGTCCTGTGGCTCAGCAGCAGCCCTCCAATGTGTTTTTCTTGCAGTATTATTAAGTTGTTAAGGATGTGGTCAAGATGTGACACTGACAGCTGGGTGTGGTGTGAGATACTCAGCAGGAACACACAGTAACCCATCGAGTGCCACCTCCACTGGCAGCTGCCTCTGTGGTCTTGAACGTGAAAAGAAATAGTCAAATTAAAGGTGGGATGAATGCCCACTTAAAGCTGATCCTCTTATAGCTTCATGGCAAAAACAGACTTGTGGTTTCAACCCTTATGGCTGGAAATTAGCAACAAATGGCGCTGGAACAGTCTTCTGCTGCGAATGTTATTCCCATACTTTGGAAAATATCCTATTTTGAAATGAAAACAAACTGTTGTATCCAAGCTGCTGTTTGAAGGGAGGTGTCGTACATTTTGCAGAAACCACAAATGAGGGGATTTTTTACTTCCATTTCGTTTTTTTAACATCCACACTGTAGATCTTCCAAAAACAAATTCCTCTTCACTGCTACCTTCAAATAATCTTTATTAAATTCTTCAGTTTTCTCTCTTACTGCTTCCTTTCTATTGCCCTCACACAAAAACAACATTTAACCAGGACTTTCGGAGGTATATTAAGCTCCGGACACAGGCTGGGTGTCCTCTAATTGTTCACATGTTATGCCCATATCACATGGCGAGATTACAGGGTGGACTTTTTTAGAAGCTTGTGCAAAGAAAATATACAAAGAAGAGGAAGTGGGTGTGAGAGGAAAGCGCTTGAAATCCAAGCCTTAACATATTCGAGCTGCTGCTCTGTGTTATTTCAGATTGTTTTGCCCCCCTGTGTTTGGTGAGTGTGGCATTCAGCGGATGAAAAGGTCTACTATTGTTACTCTGTCATTACAAATGGGATATTATTACAGTAATTACTAAAAGCATGCAGTAAAGCCAAGTGGTGTTGGAAAGGCTTTCTCTAAATAGGAAACAAAAAGAGTGTTTTATTTCAATATTCCAGTAATGTATTACAAGTTTGAGTGGTTATTTGATTATGTTTGATTCAGTCGGACACAGTAGATAAAACATAAACTTAACACACTTATTCGTAAACCAATAAGGAAGATAGAAAATCAGAAACACAGATTTAATCTAATATTGGCTCTGGATACGCCAAATAACAACACATATTAGAAAAAAAGCAACTACTAAATATTAAAAAACAAGGTGTTATACGTACAATTTAAACATGACTCCGCTCGCTTCACTGGCTTCCAGTAACTGCTAGAATCCACTAGCGTACCATGCAGTGAATGGATCTGGCCCTTCCTACATCCAGGACATGGTTAAACCATACACCCCAGCACGTGCACTCCGCTCTGCATCAGCCAAACGGCTCGCTGCACCCGCACTGCGAGGGGGACCCAAGTTCCCATCAGCAAAAACACGTCTGTTTGCTATCCTGGCTCCAAAATGGTGGAATGAGCTCCCCATTGACATCAGGACAGCAGATAGCTTACACATCTTCCGGCACAGACTGAAAACTCATCTCTTTCGACTTCACTTCGAGCAATAAAATGACTAACAAAGCACTTATATACTAACTAAGCACTGGCTTATCTAAAGCCAGTTGAGTAGCACTTGAAATGTTTTGGTTCTATGAAACCTGATGTACTTATATGATTCTGTTTTCTTCAAGTTTGTATCTTCTTGGTCGAATGCACTTATTGTAAGTCGCTTTGGATAAAAGCGTCAGCTAAATGTAATGTAATGTAATGTAATGACTCAATAACATTTGCAAGCAGAAGTCTAATGAGTTTGTGAGGAGCCTGTTGTGATTGGTCTTTGGGATTGTACCCTCTGCAGACCATTGACATGCACAAAAACACACTACAGGAAAGGGTGAAGAATGTGTTTCTGCTCCTCTAAAGTCAGAATGTGTTTTTCTGTTTTGTCTTCAGGTGACAGAGGAGAGAGAGGGTTCAGGGGGGAGAAAGGGGATCGAGGAGACCGGGGAGATAAAACAGGTAAGAGAATAAATATATGTTCAACAGCTTTTTATTGCCTTTAAAACGGCGTATTTGTGTTTTTTTCTTTGGGGCATTGCGTTTTCTTCTGCTTCAGTTACTTCACTAGTGTTTTGCTTCAAGCTCGTAGGATGACGGCACACTAACAGACCAGAACTGAGTCAGGTAATCCTGTCTTAAAACAGTAAATTGAACATGGTCTGCTTAAGGATTCAGAACTGAAATGTTTTATAGACTTCCTTGGGGAAACCAAGTTGGAAAAAATGATGTTACATTAAAAATGGACCACTAATTAGTCTGGTAGTAAGTTCATGATCCAATTTCTTTACACCCACCATACATGTTTTCCATTAAAACATTTAATATGAACAACATTAAAAAGGTTTATGATTTCACGCTGGCGTTGATAAACTAAAGGTTTTTTGCTCCACTTTTCAGTCTGTTAACGACCTCCTGATCATTACATGAACATTTAATAATTGCACTTTACTTCATGAAAAAACAAAACTGCGTCTTTGTTATTGTTTTGATTAGGAGATAACTAGCAGCAGAAAATTACATATTGTATGGTTAAACTTAGATATGTTTTATTTGACTGCAAATACCAAAAAAAAACAATAAAACCAAATAAAACGGTCGATTATAATGAAAATAATCTCCTGTTGACGGCACACGGTCCTAGTAGAGAAACAGGGCTGTAATAAAAGCAGATACATCATTGCATATTAGCCGAAGAGTGATACAGTATAAGACCATCAAAGTATGAGCTGATGACTCAAACATCTACTACACCTGATATGTTTTACAAAGAGCTCTTTAAAGGAAGTTCAAATGATCAGTATCTGCTTTCCTTTTGCGTAATCTCGCGGTTTCCGACACATAATGAAGAACCACATGGCATCAAAAGAACTTGAAAACCATTATTTATATAAATATGTCCTGTGGTGGTAACCGAACCCTCGTACAAAACCACCAAGAACTGGGTTCAGGTAGAAAAAAAACCCATTAATGACCCTCAAAACCGCAATTATTATTTTTTTAATAATCACGTAAGTTTGCTGGTTCTCCAAGTGATGAGCGATGGGGTAAAGTTCACATCAAGTAGGCTTTGAACCCTCGACCATCCTGATGGTGTTCCTGCCTGTTAAGCAACCGTCAAAGATCGGTTCTCTCCTCACTTGCTTTACGAGAGATCTTTGAGGTTTCAGAGAAAGAAAGACCGGGACCACATGCTGCCGGCTGTCAGGAATATCTCATTTCGGCAGCGTCGTGCACTTTTCTTGTCACAAACCTCGTGTGGCTGATTTGTCTTTTGATGCATGACTCGGATCGTGTTACGCTTCAAAGCATTCAATGCATACCTAAATAATCACTTACCAGAACGAGTGACCTGAAGACCGCGGAAGCTTTGTGTTGTGGGTAAAAAAAGGGGGTTAGTGCACACATGTTGGGTGTTAGCACGAGATGAACCTGTCATACGGGACCTTATTTAACTGAAGGGATCAACTTCTTCTTAAGCCAAAAACGGTATTTCAGTGTTAAAAAAAAGAGCGCAAATGGACCACAGATTGAAGTGATTTATGAGATTGATAGAAGCAGAGGGAATAGTTTTCTTCTACCTGGATTGATGTTCTTTTAAATGATAATGAAATCTCTTAAGTCACCAAAATAGCCTTAAATAATCACAGCTTGAACTCTGTACAACACCTCATCTCTGGCCAGCAGAAATATCAAAGCTTCACACTTTTTTAACTCTGAAAACCCACAATTTGTACATATTGAATCACACATATCACACTGTACCTCATTGCATTTACATTTTGATTAAAAAAGCTTCAACTACTTTGCACACACCATGTTTATAGTTTATTTAATAGTAGTTAAGGCTATTATAGTGCATTCTGCTTTATTCTGTACATTTTATTTTTATCTATTAATATAAAGATGTGTGTATATGTTTGGCAGATGGCCTAAAAGTTTGTCTCCATATATCTTTAAATGCAGTACCAGTATACTATATGTCTGTATAGTCATATGTTTTCCCTTTAAAACATGATTGAATGCTGTTTTCTTGTATGCTAACACCCAGCACCAGGTTGAAGATAGTCAACATGCTACATATTGTGCCTTAAGTGAGAGCAAAATAACATCCTTTAGCCATTAATAATGCTGTGACCCCTCCACTGATTTGGACAGAGACGTTTGAGAATATCATAAACTCTACTGGACCGCGTAGATTTTAAGGCTGAAGACAAGAAATGTGTCTATCATTAGCCGAGGCTAAAGTCCAGCAATTTGCCGATTACAATTCCCCAAAGACATTTTCCCTCGCTTGTAACTAAACGCCCAATTTTTCATTTTTTAGGCCATTTTGTGTAATTTTCACTTGACAGTTGACATATTACAAGAGAGATTGGAAGTGATACACACACACACACACACACACACACACACACAAACACACACACACACACACACACACACACACACACACACACACACACACACACACACACACACACACACACACACACACACTTTTTAACCCTCCTATTGTCTTTGTTTTCCCCCCCTTACTTTGGTGTTCACGGTCAAATTTGACCGGTCCTGTTTTAACTGCTATTACATTAACACAAAAACCATTCATCATCACCAAATTTCATTTAACACCCTTTCAAACTGTAAATATTGTATCAGACTACTGGTATACATGAAAAACTGCAGTAAATATACAAAGAATAGACACTGAATATGTATTACGTGTGCCAGGTGTGATCCATGTGGGGGGATGGGCTCATAAGAGCGGGAAATGTATCAAATTGTTCTGTGTGTGTTTGTGTGTGTTTGTGTGTGACAGGTGTGATTCACATGGGGGGATGGGGCACATACGGGGGGGGAAACGCATCTAGTGTGTGTGTGTGTGTGTGTGTGTGTGTGTGTGTGTGTGTGTGTGTGTGTGTGTGTGTGTGTGTGTGTGTGTGTGTGTGTGTGTGTGTGTGTGTGTGTGTGTGTGTGTGTGTGTGGTGTGTGTGTGTGTGTGTGTGTGTGTGTGTGTGTGTGTGTGTGTGTGTGTGTGTGTGTGTGTGTGTGTGTGTGTGTGTGTGTGTGTGTGTGTGTGTGTGTGTGTGTGTGTGTGTGTGTGTGTGTGTGTGTGTGTGATCTGATCCGGATGGTTACTAATTCCTTTTCTTTATAGCGGTCATTTTTGACCGGGAACACCATGGGTGTTACAAAGTTGACTAAATCATCCAAAATGCAATGAAAGTGGTGATCAGCAATTTGATATGTTCAAATGTCTACTGTGAAGGATATCATAAAGCCTTAATGCAATCGAATGTAAAACAAAAAAGTTATGATTGATGAAAGTAGTAAATCGGTCAGATTTGACCCGAAGACAACAGGAGGGGTGATCCACTTTGTTGTGGGTCTGACGTTTGACAGGTTGTTTTTACAGTCAACCTGTGCAGCTACAGGGATACTAATATCTAAATGTTTTCAGCTTTGACTCATGAAAAACAACTTGTTATTATGTTCATGTAAAGCTCAGCTCAACGCTCGACTTGGTGCTGCTTCCCTACGTAAATACAGAGTAACCGAATCAATATACATTTACTTTGTAGTCTTCAGCTCTCACGTGTGTTGAAATACTCCAGACATGCTCTGTTTTCATTATTTATGTTCCTTTTTGATTTGCTGGATTCAATTATCCTTTAGCTGGAACAGAACAACTCCGGTCTCCCAGTGTAGTTTAATCACATTTGATTCATTTCTAATTTCACGCAAACACAGTTAAACAAAGACACATGCAGAAATACTCGTGCTGAGAACAGTATAAAGCATTGAGGTGAGTCTGTCTTTTCTCTTTTAATTTTATTCTGCCGAGTCAGACACAGTTTTATCCTACAGTATTTATGATTTTATTCACTTTTCTTTGGCGGTATTGTTATGAAGATTGTGTTGGATTGAACACGGCTGTTTCCCCCAGCTTTCAGTATTCATGCTTAGCTAAACTGTGTTTACCAAACAGATATTGCAGTGGTATCAATCTTTGTTCTCAGCAAGAAAGGGAAGAAGGGAAGAAGAATGGTCTGCAAAGGATTTTAGCCTTTGCAGACCATTTACATGCACACAAACCTATAGAACACACTACAGGAAAGGGTAAACCCATTTCAATCAGGAGAGACGGTTTTGATGTAAGAATACATATTTATTGCAGAGATACACAAATGAATGTAATGGTGATTTTGGCGATTAGGCCCCGTTGTGCAGGAAGTATCATTCGGGAAGGTAGAACCGATCCGATGAAACCCCCCGGGGTCTAGACACTGGTGGTGGTGAATGGATAGTTGGGTTCGGTTTGAAGGGGAGGGGCTTAGCTTGACCCTGGATTCAGAGGGACGGGAGGTGAAAAGGGGCGGAGGAGGGTTGCGTCGAGTCACCTGAAATGACAGCTGTCAGAGGGGGGGGAGCAGACTTAAAAGGTTTGGCAGAGAGCTATGATAGGCTCTTGGGAATAGAGCGAAGTGATTGGTTAAGCTGGAGAGTGACGCCCCCGGTCACTTATTGAGAGGAGAGAGAGTAGTTACATGGGAATAGTAAATGAAGAGTAAAGACGGTCTTCCTAGTTGAACTTACGCTGAGCTTCATAAGATATAATAGGGCATCTTTAAAAGCGTAATTGTCAAATACACAATAGCTCAGCGTAGTTAAATCCTCCAACAATGCAACATACAATACATCTAAGACATAAAAACAAGCTGATATAGTGCAAGAAGAAAAATAGGTAAAATAGTGCAAGACAATGGTGCAAGTCACACAAGTAAATGCAGATATAAGTGAACAATATACATGTAAAATAGAAGAACACGTCATTAAAAGAATCTAAAATGAAATACAGTATAGCGGATTAAAACAGTAAAAAAAATACTGCAGTTTAATCCATCTAGAAAAAGAAAATTAAGTATCACAGCGGAAGACTTAGAAGAAAACAGACTGACAAC